TAAAGAAATATCTATTTCTCAGTAGATATAGAGAAATTAGGTAATTTATTTAGGGTCACACAGTTATTAAGTGGTTAGACCAGGAATTGAATCTAGCAATATGATCCCTGAGGCCACATACATAACCACTAGGCTATTTTTCTGAGTAATTCATATGTAATGAGATATAATAGCTAAAATATAATACTTAAATGATAGCCAGAAACTTATAAAAATGTATAAATAGAATATTTCTTAGGTTGAGATCTTTAAAGGGAAAATTATATAATTTTTTTTTAAATTTAAAAGTTCTGCAGAATTTTCTGGTAGATCTAAGATGAGTCAACTTAAAAAAATAAGTATGTGCATATGTGTTCCACCTCATGATCTTCTGAAGAAAGATGATTTCTCAACCACATTCCTTAAAAATTCCTGAGAACTATACAAATGATCATTTAGCATCACTTCTGATAAACCAGGGTGATTGACTTCTCCCTCTCTAATATCATCCAAATCAGAAGAATATGGTTAATTTTATAAAACGTAATTGTGTCAAATCCATAAAACAAAAACTGACAAACTTCCTAGGATGGAAATTGGTTTTAGAGGACATATTCTCAAACTAAATTTGTTTTTATTTTAAAAAACAATACCTTAACTGTACAGAGTTTAAATGGACAACAGTCTCAGACCGAAGTGATGTGATTAGCTGCCCTTGTAACCTCTACGTAAAACCTCTCTACCAACTTGCACAAGGTATAGAAAGTTAATAGAATTTTTCAAAGAAGAAATAATGATGCAACCTGGATGGAACTGTGCACAAAACAATAAAACTAATGACAAGAAAAAAGTACAGACTCATCTTTAAAAGTCCCTTATTTGTCAGGTGCAATACTAGTCACTTTGCATCTTTTTGTACTTCATAGTAACTATCCTAGATAAGTATCATTCCCATTTTATGGATAAAATATTTGAATTTTCCATGTATCATAACAGTACAGAATCCAAACCCATTCAAAATCGAACATCTCAGATGTAATGACCTAATAAAATGCCCATACCTCCCAAAGTGATTTATATATTTAATGCAATCTCCATCAGAATACTAACATAAATTTTCACAGATCTACAGAAAATAATTCTACACTTCATCTAGAACCAGCAAAGAGCCCAAATAGCCGAAACAACTTTCAACAAAAGATCTGGAAGCATCACACTGCCAGACTTTAAACAATATTGTAAGGTTCCAGTAACCATTCTCATGTCCTTGCGTGTTCTGTTTCATCAAGCTAGAAGGCCCTTACTCTCGTTCTTGCATTCTCATACCATACAAGTTACCAAACCATTGCAGATGCTTAAGTACACTGTTTTTGTCTTCGTATGTTTTAAAATTTTATAACTTCTACTTCTCAACACATTTGTGGTGGATGAGACTTGAATATGTAACTCTGCTAAAATCCTAAGGTAATACAAAAATGAAAACAGTAATTGTAAAATGGTACAGTGACATGGAAAACAGGTGGATAGTTCCTCAAAATGTTAAACACAGAGTTTCAATATGACCCAGCAATTCTACTCCTAGTTGTGCACTTAAGAGAAAGGAAGAGAAATGAAACTCCTTATTTGTACAAAAAACTTAAATACAAATATTCATAGCAGCATTTCAGAACACCCTAAAGTGAAAATAATCCAAGTGTCCATCAACTGAATGGATAAAAAAAAAAAGTGGTATATTCACTTAATAGATTATTATTTAGTAATAAAAATGGATAAAATACTGATACACATACATGGATCAGTACAATATGGTTCTGAAAATATTCTAAGTGAAAGGCACCAGACACAATGGTTACATAGTGTCTGATTCCATTTATATGAGATTTCCAGAGTGGCATAGAGACAGAAAGATTAGTTCTTTGCAGGGACTGAAAGGAGGAAGTAGTGGGAAGTAACTGCCAATGGGTACAGGATTTCTTTTGGGGAAAATAAAATATTCTATACTTAGCTAGTGGTTATAGTTGTACAACTCTGTGAATACAGTAGAAACACTTAATTGTATATTTTTTCAGAATGAATTCTGTCTCAATAAAGCTATTATTTGCAAAAACCCCCAGAATATTGAGAATTCTCTCTTTGCTCCAGATGTGTAACGAGGGGCATAATTGTCAAAGTCACAATATAATCCTGCTGCCTAGGACTTCCTGATCATCCGTATTAATTAACTATACAATTATAGAAATGATGGAATGTTAAAGCATCATTCTAAATTAACCCCTTTATGACTTCCAACGATAAGTGACTTAAAGTGATAAAGATACTCGTAGAACCAGGAAAGACTCAATGATTTCATCTTTACTTCTTTGTTGAATTTGACATTTTCTTTCCTGAAATTCTTTTTTTTTGAGACAGAGCCTCAAGCTGTCACCCTGGGTAGAGTACCATGGCTTCACTGCT